TCACCATCACGGTTCACATTCATACTCACCCCGTGCAGGTCAGAGCCCAGCAGCACCACTACCGTGCCCCCCAGGGGCAGGCGGAGCAGGGGACCCGCGCCCCCGGACAGGCTCTCACGGAATGCCCCTCCTCACCGCAGCTGAAACATTTCATCGACGAGGATGCTGCAAAGATCACGTATTCATAATCATCCACCTTCACGTGGAAGCGGAGGTTGAGCTCCACATTCCGGTTGTTAAGGATCATATTCAGGTGTCTGTGGTGAGACACCACGTGCTTCAGTAACTGAGACGTCCAGACAAGATCTTTGATCGGTGAGACCACCTTCCCGTGTCTGGACAGCTCTCTGCTGAGGAACTCGTCGCTGATGAACGGAGGGACGTTTGATAGAACGATTTTTGTTGCCGGTTGCGTCAACGGCAACACCTGCACAAACATTTCATTCACCGTGAGGCGCCTCGACGACTCGGTTCACCTTCTCCACCTGGTCCAGGAAGATGACCACGGCGCTGTTCATGCGCGAGGCCGACTTAACGCTGCCGTGCATGACCTTCTCCCCCACAGCCCGATGTCCTCCACGCTGCACGGGAAGCCCGCGGCGATCTTAATGCCGTGCTTCCTCGTGAGCTGGGAGAACGTGTCTCCATTTACCGTCTAGAGACGCCGACCGGCGAGACACCGGCAGGAGAAAAGAAACCCAAAGAAAAACCCCAACGACTAAAGTGAGAAACAACCACTAAACCACATTCAATTAATATATATAACTAAGGGAAAAAACAAAGAGAGAAAACCGCTCAAAGACGCTCACACACACTCACTCCCAGCATGCACCGAGAGAGAGAGAGAGAGAGAGAGAGAGAGAGAGAGAGAGAGACAGAGAGAGAGAGAGAGAGAGAGAGAGAGAGAGGTTTGAGGTTTAAAGAATCCTTTATTCCACTTTTACAAAGGAGCCAGAACACAAAACATGAAAGAAAAACCAACAATAAACACACACAGTCCAACAAGCAGAAACAAAAGAGACAGAGTAAACAAACATCTGCATTCTAGCCTGAACAGTTGTTCCCCCCCAGGCTAAAGGCCGCCGCGTGTTTCTGCGTCTGCGTCGACGCGCTGGTTTCACTTCCTGGTTGTAAAGTCCTGCGTGTGTTGCAGAGCGATTCACCTCCAGAACAACAGGAGGAGTCACGTGTTTTGTTGAAGACGACCTGGAGAGTCACGTCTTTGTGTGTGGAAGTCGCTGGTGGCTTTATTTATTGATCATAGACTTTATTGCCCCGTGCATCCACACTGCTGCTTTTCACCAAGGACACGTTTGTCCCGTATTTTCCTCCACGACTTTGTTCCCTCGTTTGTGGAGATCTGCCTCCATGAATCAGAGGCCATCCGGCGTCCTCATAGTCCGCCAATGACGGCTCATATTTACGCATTTCTTCCCACAAAAGCTCTTCAGTCTGATCCGTTACCCTGGACCAAGACGTCGGAGCCCAAAGTGTAGCTGCAGATGAACACACACTGCGTTACGCCGCGTATCTCACAGTGTGTTATGAGTCTGCTGCAAGGGGCCCTTTGTTTCCTTCTACTGCGCCTCGCCAGTATTCATCTGTGATTGGACGCCTTCTCCTTCCAGCTTTTCTCCTCCCTCCACTGCGGGAGATTCTGACTCTTGACTTGTTGTTGTTGTTTTCTCTGGGGGGGGTTGTCTGCACAGTCTGTCAATCATGAATTAGTCGACATCTCATCACTATTAGATTGGATTGGTTTGTCAGGTAGGTGAGGGAGGAAAATCCACTTTGGCAAAGATAAGTTGTTGCAAAGGGCAAAAGGCTCATCATTGCTTTTGGTTGTGGAAAGTCTTTGTGGCCAGAGATCCAGAACTGTGTGGTTTGGTTTGGTAAATGTTTCTGAACGTACGGTCAGTGGATAGTTGGATGAGCTGATCCTCCTCTGTCACTGTCAGGCGTGTGCCGTCTGCTGCGTTGTCTCTGGATGGAAACTG